CCGGATGGGGAGGTGAAGGGGTGCTGAGGAAGGGAGGAGATCTGCAGAACACAGCAGCCATGATGGGAGCGGGGACAACCGGATGGGGAGGTGAAATGGGAGGAGAATCAACAAGAAAATGTTATCTGAAAATGCCACAATGAAACCTAATACTTTGTATGCTAATAAATAAAAGTATTAAATTAAAAAATAAAATAAATCTCATTTGCAAAGCTTCTTCAAATACGTATTCATTAGCTAAATTGTGACGCCATCTATGAGTGAGAGATGAACCTGAGAGGAATTCATAGAAATGGAGAGATAATTCACCAACACTGATTATATAAATAATGAGTTTAAACACTGAGTATAAAATAATGGGTTTCATTGTGAAATTGTAATATGTGTATGTAACTCAATTTTAATATGGTCACCCCATTACCATTTCTCTTCCCAAAGTATATTCAAAAGTGGAACTCTGAGGCACAAAGTGAAAATTGACTTTAAAGACAGAACCAAATGTAATAGCTAATTGGGTTGTTTTTTCATTGGTTTGCTGAGTTTTCTTCAGTCATGTATGGCTTAAAAGACTATCTAGAGCCAGGCGGTGGTGGCGCACGCCTTTAATCCCAGCACTCGGGAGGCAGAGGCAGGCGGATCTCTGTGAGTTCGAGGCCAGCCTGGGCTACCAAGTGAGTCCCAGGAAAGGCGCAAAGCTACACAGAGAAACCCTGTCTCAAAAAACCAAAAAAAAAAAAAAAAAAAAAGACTATCTAGGAAGCCCGAGAATAGACCCTCCAGAGAGTAATTGGGCACTGCAGAATATTCAAGAAATGGATGTGAATGAATGAATGAATGGATGGATGAATGAATGAATGAGTGAAATGACTCCTCACCAAAGCAGACCCAACAAAGCCATCAGCTGACTGAGCCTGATGCCTACAGAAGAGGGCAGCGGTGTGGTAATCTTGATGAAGGCTGGACAGAGGGAAATGCTTTCGGTTTGTTCTCTAGAATGTTCAAAAGATCACATTTAAAAAAATAAAATAAAATGGCCATTTGGTGATGGAAGGGAGGTAAAGGTTGTCATTTTATATTATGCATTTTAAAGCTAAATTCAATTCAGATGGAATGGACTGCCCGTATGTATGATGGATAAGCAAACACAGGAAGAAGTAGCAACAATTTTTTCACTGGATTTAGTTGTGATTTCTTCGGCAGGTGGTGGGAAGCAGCCTTTAAAGGGCTGTTTCGTAGCACGTGACACGCTCATTCGAGTTTTTGTTGAGTAATGATTTTGAAAGTTGCTTGCTGTTTGGAAATTGGTGTGGACACAGAAATCAATGGCTTTGTTCAAGAAAGCCACATAGCTGTCAGCAGTCAGCTGTCAGCGATGTGTTCTCTGGCTTGTAACAGCGACACCTTGTGGTGACACGAGTTATAAGCCTACAGGTTACAGAAATACTGTTGGGCGTAACGTTTTTACCCCTACCTGCCTAATTACCCTTTGTATTTTTAGTGGCTTTTGAAAACCAGCATTTTGTGGCTCATCTGCTGGCAATTTAAAAGCAACCCTTACAAAAAGAAACCCTGAAAAGGCATATTTATATACTCATATCTGGCAAACATCTTTGATTGTACTAGGATTTCACAAATGTGCCTAGCAACTGGTTACTGTCTAAGGTGGTGCCCTGCTTCCATGCCATGGCTCAGGATCACTGAGCATCCAACACACTGTGTTTGCCAGTTTGGTCTTTTTGTGTTTCCCCAAATCCCTGCAAGCAAAGCTATGCAAACCCCATCCTCACAGCAGTTAGCTCCCAAAGGCACAATGGAAGCATTCCTTGTCCTCTAGTGCCTCTGGTGGAAAGAGATATGCATCATTTAAAGTATTTTGCATCCTTCCGGGGAAATAACTTGTTCCTTCCCTTCAAAGAATGCAAAATGGGTGAGAAAAACTGAATCTGTGCATATTGAAATGCTAGCACACGAGTCATCTTGCTAATTGAGGAGGATAAAATGTGTGTGAGTGTGATTTTGTCTCCTCAGGTCAGGATTATGTGTGGTAAGTTTGGTTTTACAGCCTTATCAGTTTTTTTACCCAGCCATTCCATGTTTGCCGGTTGTGTTACAAATGGAGCTACCAGCTGCTGATGCGACTATCTTGTCTTTGCCGGTTTGTAAGAAGTGGGTTTGCAACTCCAAAACATCTAGCTTTGCTTTCCTGGCACCCATTCCGGGATTTTGAAGCAAAGGGGGTGCGGGGACGGGGGTGGGGCGGTGTAGGCCCTATATTTCTAAGCATGGTGAATGTTTATTAGGTCAATCCTGTTTTTTTTGTAATGGCTGAAATGTAGCAGGCTCTTTGCTGATTAGCCCAACTCTTCTCTAATGGCCTGCATTAGTGATTGGTGTGTTGGAGCTAGCTCAGACGGGCTCAGACTTGCTCAAACTGGCTCAAGCCGGTTTCAGAAACTGATTCAAAATGGCCACGGTAGGAGTGTTTCCACTGCACCAATAGGTGAAGAGTGTTGTAAACAGAGGCTTTTCTCTGTCTCACCCCACTTCCACATCATTATTCAGAGGCTTGTATTAATTATAAATGTTTGGCCAATGGCTCAGGCTTATTGCTAAATAGCTATTACATTTAAATTAACCCATTTCTATTAATTTATGCATGGCCATGTGGCCCATGGCTTACAGGTCCTTTGGCATCTTGTTCCTTGGGCAGCTGGTTAGCATCTCCTCTGACTCCACCCTTCTTCTCCCTGTATCTCCATTTGGCTTTCCTGCCCAGCCTTATTCTGCCTGGCTATTGGCTAAATTAGCTTTTATTATCAACCAATGAGAGCAACATATATTCAGAGCATACAGAAGGGTCCTCCCACAGCAGAGTGCACACCAGGGCATTTCCCCACAAGGGGCTAACTGTGAAGCAAGCTTTTTGGGCACAAAACTGCAATTATGACTGTAGCGATTAGCACTGCACCTGTAAACCTTAGTTCTATACTCCCAGCACTCAGGGTAGAGGGCAGGAAGATTAAGGGTTTGAAGCTGGCCTCATCTATGAAGTGAGACCCTGTTTTTTTTAACTCCACAATTTAAAATAGATTTAAGAAATTAGATGATTTTTAAAAAAGAAAGCCAAGCCTGGGGTGGTGGCACTCACCTGCATACCAGTATTCTTGGTGTCAAGGCAAGTGCATCAACAGTTTGAGGCCAGCCTAGGCTACATATCAAAACCCTTAAAAAAAAAAAAAACAAACCTCACAGTTTCACAGATTTACAAAGTTAAAAGATTAAAAGATTGGTGGTGCCGGCCTAGAATACCAGCACTTGGACGTGGAGGCAGGAGGATGAAGAGTTTGGGGCCAGCTTCATCCACATAGTGAGACCCTGTTTTTTTCCCCTCACAACTTTGATTTAAGAAATTAGACACTTAAAAAGGGACACCTGGCCTGGGTGGTGGCACAGGCCAGCAATTTCAGCACTCAGTGTGCGGAGACAGGAAGATTGTGAGTTCCAGGCCAACCTGGGCTTGGTTTTTAAACTCCCAAATTTTTTACACTCCCAAACTCCAAATTTTTAATTTAAAAATTAAAAGACTAAAAGCGAAAGTCTAGGCTGCAGTGGAGGCCTACCTCAACTAGGGTGTAGCCAAGCCTGGGGTGCTAGCAAAGTCCTACAATACCAAACTCCAGGTGTGGAGGGAGAGAGATGAAGAGGTTGAAGATAGCCTGGACTATAGAGTAAGACTCAGGTTTTTAACCACCACAGATTCCTAGATTAAAGAAATGAAAAGAGGGGCTGGAGAGATGGCTCAGAGGTTAAGAGCACTGACCGCTCTTCCAGAGGTCCTGAGTTCAATTCCCAGCAACCACATGGTGGCTCACAACCATCTGTAATGAGATCTGGTGCCCTCTTCTGGTCTGCAGGCATACGTGCAGGCAGAACACTGTATACCTAATAAATAAATAAATAAATCTTGAAAAGAGTAAAAGATAAGGCCTGAGCTGGTACTACAGCTTGCTACACTGGCACTCTGGATGTAGAGGTAAGAGAATCCCAAATGAGAGGGCAGCCTGGACTGTAGTGCAAATTCTAATTGGTCTTAATAATAAAAACCCGGAGTCAGATATGGGGTAAATGCTGAAAGATCAGAGAAGCAAAGGAACCAGCCACTAGAAAGATCTCTTACCTCTACTGAATCCTCAGACCAAAAGAGGCTGAGCTCCTGTCTCCCCCCACCTTATATTACTGTCTCCATCTCCCTAGTGCTGGGATTAAAGGTGTGAGCCTCCACTGCCTGGCTTTGTTTCTCTTTTAGACTGGATCAATCTTGTGTAGACCAAGGTGGTCTTGAACTCCTGATCCTCCTGCTTCCTCCTCCCAAGTGCTGGGATTAAAGGTGTGTGCCACCACTGCCTGGCCTGTATGGTTAACTAGTGACTGCCTCCACACTCTGATCTCCAGGCAAGCTTTATTTGTTAGAGCACAAACAAAATATCACAGCAAGACCCTGTTGTTTTAATACCCACACTTTCCTAGACTTAAGCATTTAAAAGGTTAAAAGAGATGGTCAAGCCTCGGGTGGTGGCATAGGCCTTCAATATCAGCCCTGAGCGTGTGGAAACCAGAGGATGGAATTTAAAGACACCTCTCATTTACACAGAGAGGCCTTTTTAGAAAGGAAACACACACAATGCCCTAGTTTTAAGACATTAAAAGATTAAAAGTGAAGGTCAAGCTTTGGTAGGTGGCATAGGCCTGTAATAAAATCACTTGAGGTGTGGAGGCAGGAGGATCAAGAGTGTGTAGCCTGCTTAGGCTGCATATTGGGATCTTTAAAAAAAAAAAACCTCACAATTTCATATATTAAAAAAATAGAACAATAAAAGAGAAGGCAATGCCTGGATTGGGGGCACAGGTCTTCAGTAGCAGAACTTTAGTTTGGGGACAGCAGGATCAAGTGTCTGAGGCTGGCCCCATTTTTCCGACCCCCTCAATTTTATAGATTGAAGAAATTCCAAAGTTGAAAAGAGAAGTCAATGCCTAGGTGGTGTTACAGGCCTGCAATTCCAATACTTGGGATGTGGAGTCAGGAGAATTGAAAGTCTGAGGTCTGTTTTTTTCACCCCTACATTTACAACATTAAAACGTTAAAAGACAAAGTGCGGCCTGGGTGGCAGCGCAGGCCTGAAATAATGGCAGAGACAGGAGGACCGAGAGTTTGGGGCCAGCTTGAGCTACAGGGTTTTGTTTGTTTGTTTGCCTTTTGTTTTTGTTTTGGGGTTTTTTGCTGTTGTTTTGTTTTGTTTTTATCTCCCACACTTTCTGAGACTTAAGAAATTAAAACACAAGGCCAAACCCAGGGTGGTAGTTAAAGGTTGTGGTACCAGCCCTCTGGCTGCTCAGGCAGGAGGAACCCGAGTGTTAGGCCTTCCTGCTCTACAGAATAAGACCTTGTGGGGTTTTTTTAAACCCCACAATTTCCTAGATTTGCAAAATTAAAAGAATAAAGATAAGGCCATATTTGGGGGTGAGTATCACAGGCCTGTAATATCAGCACTAGGGAGGTTGAGGCAGGAAGATCATGATTTCAAAGCCAGCTGGTCTGTTTATATATAGTGATATCCTGGGCCTTCTCTTCAACAACAACAACAACAACAACAACAAAAGGTGAAGGCCAAAAAATAAAACGCAGATGGGCTTTCTCAGTCGTTGAAGTCATTGAAATTGACAAGCAAATGACTACTTTATGAGTTTGGCCTAAATTGAGGTATCCTGAAGACCCCAAACTATGACCTGGGTTGTTCCTTTCCACAACAATCCAGACACTTGCTTGCTGAGTTTTAAGGGTGTCACAAAGAAATGAGTGGTACAGTGGGGACCAGAGGTGAAATCTGCTCTCTTCCTGTCTCTACAGCTCTGTCTCTCCGCCACCTTCACTTCCTCTCCCGCACTCCGCCTCACATCCGTTTCTCACTTCCAGGAAAGAAGAAATCCAAGTTTAAAGCCTTGAGGAACTTTTTTGGCAAGAAGAAGAAGAAAGAGCCAGAAGGTGTCCCAGAAGGGAAAGAGCAAAAGCCGAGGTTTTCCAGCGGCAGTCTGAAGTCAGCGGCAGAAGTCGCAGCCGCGGAGCCCAAGTAAGCGGAGACGGGGAAAAGGGCCGGGGCTGGAGCTGCATCGAGAACAGGCCCGAGCGAGCAGGTAGCACAATCAGGCTTCGAGCGGACTGCTCATGAGGAGCTCGTGGCCCGTTTCATAAAGTCAGGACGGCCCATGTCAGGCAGAGTTTTGGTCTTTGGGCCTGGTTTGCTTACCTCATCCCTAGGCTGCAGATCTGGAAAATGGAATCTAGATCTCTAAGGAATAAAATCTCAGGAAAAGGTACATTTTATTTAGCATAGGTGAGCTTAAGCATAATATCTTTTGTTGCTTTAAAATACACAAACAAGCTAGCAAGTTCAATCCATCTTTCATTTCCCCTCGGGACACTGGGTGGTCACAGGTATTTGGGGAAGGCTGTTTCTCAGCCACTCACTCATGCCCATTCACACTTCTAGATGTGGTGTTCCAATTTAAACATCATCTTTCTCTTTCCTTGGGATATCCTGCCTGTGCCTGCAGCTGTCCCTAGACCAATCGGATCTCCCTCTATGGAAGACTTTGGTCAATTCTCATGGTGTTAAACTGCAGACATTTAGAGGTGCCACACAGAGTACACCATTGCCCCTAGCCATTCTCTGAGACCCTGCTGTGCTAAGATTCTCCCAATACTCCCCTCTCCTAAACACTTCCCATGACATTATGACATTAAAGTATCTATGGTTCTTTAATGAGTGTACCCACGATGAGGACTTTCAGATAGCTTTGCCAAGGGGAAGGGTGTTGGACAAAAGGGCTTATTTCATACCTTACAAGCAATGCCATTGCAGAACATTGTCTCAGAGTTCAAAGTAAGACTAGAAGAAGCCTGTCTACACAACAGAAGGGTAGGGGATGGAGAGACTATCTGGTTTACCCTGCATTGTTTCTGCAAATTGGTAGTGGCTATTTCTACAAAAAATGGTAGCTTCTCACTCCAAAATGGTCTGTTTATTCTGCTGTATTTGCCACTGTCTTAGAGTTTCTATTGCCGTGAAGAGACACTATGACCATGCCAACTCTTATAAAGGAAAACATTTAATTGGGGCTGGCTTACAGTTTCAGAGGTTTAGTCCATTATCATCATGGTGGGACATGGCCACTTGCAGGCAGACATGATGCCAGAGAAGGAGCTGAGAGTTAATGCATCTTGACCCACAGGCAACAGGAAGTGGTCTGATACTGTGCTTGGCTTGAGCATGTATGAGACCTCAAATCCACCTCCACAGTGACACACTTCCTTCAACAAGACTATACCTACTCCAACAAAGCCACACCTCCAAACAGTGCCACTCCCTATGAGCTTATGGAGATCAACCACATTCATACTACCACAGCCACACTAAGAAATGTTGAGAGAGACATAAGGGGGTTATTTTTGCAAGAAGCATAAATTAAATAAAGTATAACTGAAGAGCCTGAAGATCACTCCTGGCCTTTGTCCCTTGCTTAATGTGCTAGGACAAAAACCTTAGAGAACGCCACTCAAGTGTTTGGAAGAGAGATCAGGGTTTTCAGCCATGTAAACAATCAGTCAGCCATAAAACTTATAGCCAGTTGGGTGTGGTAGCACAAGTTGCAATGCCCGTACTCCGGAGGCAGAGGCAGGGCGATCTTTACGAGTTTGAGGCCAGGTTGATCTACATAGCAAGTTCCAGGCTATCCAAGGTTACATGGTAAGATCCTGTCTCATGCAACAAACAAATAAAAAAACGAACATTTTAACACAGTACAACTCTAAGATATACTGGTTTGATATTTCCACGTTGAAGCACAATAGTATGAAAATATTGTTTTTCCTATAATTGAGCCATTGTGTTTCCATAAAAGTGGAAAACACTGTAAGTACAAGAAAAGCACTGCAACTCTTATCATATACTAGTTTGGAATCTGAGCTGAGGTGTTTCAGTGTCCATTGGCCCTGTGTGACATGAGGAGTGTGAAGTGCATGTGTTGTGGGTTCAGAACCAAGGATGCAGCAAAAGCACACAACACAACATGAATGAACATTGCCAGAAACACCCCAGATTCATCACGCAGTTGATTCCGAATTAGTTTTCAATCATTGCACATTTCCAGTTATGTAAACCCAAATGGGATTGCAACTCACAGTTAAACAACAAAACAAAACAGGGCTTTACAGTCACCATTCCAGCATGGATAAAGGAGGGCATGATGAGGCTCTACCCCTAGTTGAGGATCTATTGGCAGTTGATGGCTACTAGAGAGTGTCAATTTTCTTAAGAGGGGTCGCCTTTGGTAGGTTTACACTGCCCCAATGGATGGCCCCACATGGGAAGCCCCAACTAGAGACAGTGAATTTAAAAAGGGGTGGAAGAGGAGAGTTGGAGGGGTAGGGGAGTGAATACTATTTGGTTATTGAGTGGTCTGCCCTGAAAATATATGCAAATAAGCAACAGTGAATGGACTCAGCAGGCTATGCTTATATATTTATTCATATATTTATGTATATATGTAACAGTAATTAAATAAAAAGGTCCTGAATTTGAGACGGAGGGAGAGGAGTATGGGAGGGGTTAGAGGGAAGAAGGGGGGTGGGCAAAATGACATAATTATGTTTATGTGACTTCACCCAGAAACTGATGGAAACACACGCAGAGACCCACAGCCAAACATTAGGCAGAGCTCAGGGAATCCTGCAGAAGAGGGGGAGGAAGGAATGTAGGATCCAGTGGGGTCAAGGGCACCTCAAGAAAACTCATAGAACCAACTAACCTGGAGTTATAGAGGCTCACAGAGACTGAACCGACAACCAGGGAGCTTGCATGGGACTGACCTAGGCCCTCTGCATATGTTACAGCTGTATTGCTTGGTCTTTGTGTGAGATTCCTAACAGTGAGAGCAGGGGCTGTCTCTCACTCTGTTGCCTGCTTTCAGGACCCATTACTCCTTCCAGATTGCCTCATCCTGCTTTAATAGAAGAGGAGATGCCCACTCTCACTGCGACTTGATATCCTACAGCTGGCTGCTAGCCATGGGAGGCCCCCCTTTTCTGAAGAGAATCAGAGGAGGAGGAGTGGGGGAAGGTGGAGGTGAAGGGGGAGGGACTGGGAGGAGAGGAGGGAGGAGAAACTTTGGTTGGGATGTAAAAAAAATGAAAAAAAAAAAGGAGAAAAATCTTCAGGAAATTCTGTCACCAAAGAGGCCACCTCCAGAGAAGGCTATCCAGCTTTTATTTTGTGTATGGATACTTAGGATTATTCCACATAAATATAATGCTGAGAGTTCTACATTTTGACTTGTAGGCAACAGGAAGTGAACACTGGGCATAGCTTGAGCAAAGGAGACCTCAAAGCCCACGCTTCCTCCAAGGCCATACCTACTCTAACAAGGCCACACCTCCTAATAGTGCCACTCCCTTTGGGGGCCACTTTGTTTGAAACCACCGTATGTATGTATATATGTATGTATGTATGTATGTATGTACTATGTGAATATACATTGCACATGTCCATACTTTTGATTTTGGGTTCTCACTCCACATCTCATAGACGGATTTCTGTTTCAGCACACATGCATCTCTGCCCTGCTTCCGAGCTGTCTCTGGTATCTATATCATGAACATACCTTGTCCTTTGCTTCTTAATCCCTTGGACTTCTTTGAAAAGACTTTTCCTTTCCATGTAGGCCTAAGAGCACCATGGGCGCCAAGGCCATATCCCACGATAGTGTCTTCTGTTTGGAGCCGGAAGCATCAGCAAGCAAAGCGCGCTCTTCTCCAGACTCCCAGAGAGGCAGATCACAGAAGGTAACAATGACTTGACCTCAGTCCAACTAGACACTATTCTATCTGACCCCTCCTCAAAGGAGGGACGAATTTGATCCCGATTATCAGCTCATTCTACTTCACAGCAGTATCTTAAACATGAAATAGTACAATATGTAAATAGGTGGGTAACTGTGCAGGGTGGCCGACACAGTGTTGACTGCTGTTGGTGTGCTTACTTGACACACTCTAAGGATGCCATCATTATGTTGATAGTGGAGAGTTCACGATTTCTGTGCTAGCATACCAATCCCCAAGCTTTTCTCTCTCTCCCACAGAGATCTCTTATCTCCAGATCTCTGACGAAAGTCGCAGGAACTGATGCCCTTGGAGCTTCGAGTGCATCTGTGAGCCACTATGAACCCAGAAGTGAACTCTGGGGCCCAGGTTTCAAGATTTCTGAGGTAACACCATGGAAACGTGTGGCGCATGGGCAGCTAAGCCAGAGAGACTGTCTTAGTCAGGGTTTCTACTGCTGTGAAGAGTCAGCATGACTATGGCAACTCTTAGAAAGGGAAACATTTAATTGGGGCTGGCTTACAGTGTCAGAGCTTTAGTCCATTATTGTCATGGAGGACAAACATGGCAGTGTGCAGGCAGACATGGTGCTGGAGAAGGAGCTGAGAGGTCTACATCTTGATCTGCAGGCAGCAGAAGGACAGACCGTGTGCCACACTGGTTATAGCTTGAACATATCAGACCACAAAGCCTGCCCCCATAGGGACACACTTCCTCCAAAAAGGCCACATATACTTCAACAAGGCCATACCTCCTAATACTGCTACTCCCTATGTGCCACATTCTACTCCCTGGCCCCCATACACTCGTGTCCCTGTCATAGTCCAACTCCAAAAGTCCCTGTAGTCTATTGCAGTATCAGCACTGTGTAAAAGTCAAACGTTCAAAGTCTCTGCTGAGACTCATGCAATCTATTAACTATAATCCCTTATAAAATCAAAATGAAAAAGCAGATCACATACTTCCAATGTATAATGGCACAGGGCATACAGTTTCAAAACACAGGCAATGAAACATAAATGAGTAAATACTGGACCAAAGCAAGACCAAAAACCAGGTGGACAAACTTCAAACTCTGCATCTCCATGTCTGATGTCCAAGTGCTCTTCAGATCTGCAACTCTTTTCAGCTCTGTTGACTACAACACACTTCTTTCCCTTGGACTGTTTCTACTCCCTGTTAGCAGTTCTGCTTGGCAGGTATCCCATAGCTCTGGCGTCTCCAAGATTTGGAGGTCTCCAAGGCAATCCAGGTTTCACCTTCATAGCTTCACACAATGGCCTCTCTAGGCCTCTATGCAGTGATACCCTGCCACACACTTGGCCTCAGCAGCTTTCTTTAGTTGTGGAGGGAGATTCCATAACCCCTTTCTTCTATTCTTGACTCTAAAGCCAGAACAATGTGGCTGAAGCTGCCAAGTTTTGCTACTTTGGGGCTGGAACATGGCACCATTGTTCAAATACATTTTCACCAGCTTTCTGTTTTTAATGGTTTCCTTCACAGCCTAAGCTTGGCTGTCCTGGAAGTAGTTCTGTAGACCAGACTGGCCTCAAACTCACAGAGATTTGCCTGCTTCTGCCTCCCAAGTGCTGGGATTAAAGGCGCATGCCACCACTGCCCAGCCCATAATTCTTTAATTTAGCCTCAGGCAGATTTTTTTTTGTACAAGGGCAGAAAACAGCCACATTCTTCACTAAAATATCATAAGAATGATCTCTAGGCAACATACTAATATTCTACTCCTCTGAACCTTCTTGAACCAGGCCCACACAGTTGAAATCACCCTCAGCACCACTGTCTTTCATGCTCCTACTAACATGGCCCATTAAAGCCCACTTAAAGCATTCAGGTACTTTTTAAATCCAAAGTCTCAAAGCTCACAATCCTCCAAACAAAAACATTGTCAGGCCTATCACAACAACACCCCAGTTCTTGGTACCAACTTCTGTCTTAGGGTTTCTATTGCTGTGAAGAGGCGCCATGATCATGACAATTCTTACAAGGAAAAACATTTTATTGGGGCTGGCTTACAGTTCAGAAGTCTAGTCCATTGTCAGCATGGCAGCATGCAGGCAAATAGGGCACTAGAGAGGGAATTGAGAGTTCAACATCTGGATTGACAGGCAGCAGGAGGAGAGATTGACACTGGGCCTGTCTTGAGCATCTGAAACCTCAAAGTCTATCCCCAAAGACATACTTCCTCCAATGAAGCCATACTTCCTCCAACAAGGCTATACCTATTCCAACAAGGCCACACCTCCTAATAGTGCTACTCCATATGAACCTTTGGGGGCCATTTTCATTCAAATCAGTATACAGACCTATGCTTGAATTCTTGCCTTGAAACTTAATTGCTGTGGCTGTAGAACCACAGCCTTCCTCTGAGACTTCCTTTCCTCATCTACATTGTACAGTATTAATAGCCTCCTCAAAAATTTGCTTATGGGGATTGAGTGAAGACTCTGAAAGGTTAAAGAAGTCATTCAAGGGACTAGAGAGATGTCTCAGTGGTTAAAAGCACTGAATGTTCTTCTGTCTGTACCCTGAAGCACTGCCCCTAGTAGGCAGAAGGTAACTGCTAGGTACCTGCCCAACACCCGGGGCATGGCGAGACAGGGCCCCCTTAAGACCTGGGATGAGATGTGCTCACTCTCTCTTGGCTACCTCGTGATCTTGGATGCTGGATGCTGGATGCTGGATGCTGGTGCTGCGTAGCAAGGTAGAGTTCTCCAGAGAACCACGTTGGACCGATCCCCCCCTGCCCTGGGGGGGTAGGTACCTAGCAGTTACCTGCTACCTACTAGGGGCGGTGCTTCAGGGCACAGACAACCACCCCTACACAGAGGACCCAAGTTTGATTTCCAGCACCCCATGATAGCTTGCAATTATCTGTAATTCCAGTTCCAGGGGATACAATACCTTCCTCTGGCCTCCATGGGCATCTGGCACAGGGTGCACATGCAGGCAAAATGCTCACATACATAAAATGAATGTAAATACAACTAATAAATATTTTTAAGAGAAATGATTCAGGACCACCCAGCTAGTACATTGTTGACTTAGAAATGTGTTCATGTGTGTTAACCTCAACCATGGGCTTCCTATACCCCACTTCCTAAGATTCTCTAATTCTTCATATCTGCCCAGATATGGCAGCTCTCTTATGGTCCCCACAAAATGTATCATTTACATAGGACAGCCCCTTACCTCCAGCTAATCCTAAACTTGTAAGATACATCCATTCTTCAGCCAGACACTTGTAGAACTCTGATCCAGGAGTGCTCTTCATGGAGCTGGTGTAAATGCCAGGGCATGAGTGTTTTAGCAGCTTGTCTCTCATTTACTGGTGGGTTTCTGCCTGAGCATCCCTGTGAACCTGGGGAAGCTGCACAAGGAGACCACCCCCCACTGGAAAGCTGTTTTGTTTTGTTTTCATTTGATTTTGTATTTGGCACAAAATCAGTTGAATTTATCTCGGACACATCTGTTTGAGGTTTCAGGTGACTGACTCTGGTTTATGAAGTGTGTGCAAATTCTGCTGGGTGCATTAATCTTGAAGGGTGGGGAAGACAGCACTGAGGTATTCAGAGGAGGGCATAGCTCTGTGGTGGCAGTCCCTGGTGCCACTGGACTGTTTGTTGCCTTCTTGCAGCACATTAGGGAAAGCATATTCTCCTGTACTTTCCAATACTCAGCCTGAAATAGCAACACCAGCTTTTCATACCCATAGTTACACCCTTTACCCCTTCATGGCCATCCCAAGAGTCACAGATTGTTTCTTATATTTGGAATGGAGCAGCCTAGTTCCTAGTCTCTGTACTCTTTCCCTCTTCTCTTAGTCCCCACAACAGAGAAACTTCTGTAGTAGAGTTTCGGACATTAACTGTACAGACATTCAGTCAAAAACAAGAGCTACTTTTTGAGAGGATTGCAAGGAAGTATTCTAGGGGCTTTATTTCTCATGATGAAGGGATGGGAAAAACCACAAGAGTTCAAAGGCAAGTTTTCTTAAACAACCAGTGTGGGCCTACGTCTCATACACTGATTGGGCATGCCCGATCCTTTAGGCCTCCTCCTGTGAAACATGCCCAGGGACAGCAGAGGGCGCTGCATTAGTTTTTTTTTTCCCCTAGTGCTGTGATTAAAGGCAATGATCAAAAGCAACTTGGGGAGGAAAGGGTTTATTTCATCTTACACTTCCAGGTGAACAATCCATCACTGAGGGAAGTCAGGACAGGAACTCAAGGCAGGAACACGGGGGCAGAAACATGGGGCCAGGAACTGAAGCAGAGGACACGGAGGAACATTGGTTACTGGCTAGCTCCTCATGGCTTGCTCAGCCTGCTTCCTTATACCACTCAGGACCACCTCTCCAGGGATGGCACCACCCACAATGGGCTGGGCCCTCCTCTATCAAGCAGTGATCAAGAAAATCCCCCAGAGAGTTGTCTACAGGCAATCTGATGAAGCATTTTCTCAATTGAGATTTCTCTTTCCAGATAACTCTGACTTGTGTCAAGTTGGTGGGGGAAGCTAACCAGGATAGGTGATGATATGTCATAAATGACCATTTTAACCACTGGGTAGAAAACTCCCTTCAAGTGCCAAGATGACAGCACTACATGAAGGTTAATTGATGGCAAGGGTCCCAGACGCCAGCCAAGGTGGCTGGCATTTTCCTGTAATATAAGCATTTATGGTGCTGAGGCAGGAGGACCTTCAGTTCAGTGAATTCCAGATTCCCCTGTTTTGAGGCCTTGTCTCAAAACACCAAACAAACATACATACACAAAACCAAATGAATCAAGGCTCCTTACATTCGGTGCTCCATAGATCCTGGTGGAAGTATAGAATTGTCCAGTGCCTGCATCCCTTGAAGAGTTTGGGTTCATTTTTAAATAAAAAAAATCTATATGTGTGTGGGGTGGGGGTATGTGCACATGAGTGCAGGTTCCCACAGAGGTCAGAGGTGTTGAGTTCCTCTGGAACTGGAGTTACAGGCTCTTGTGAGCTGCCTGATGTGGATCCTCTGCAAGAGTAGTACATGCTCCTAATCACTGAGCAATCCCTCCAGTCCCAGGGCAGGGTTCTTAGTGGATCATAAATGACCTTCATAGCATTTAAACATTGTGAGGGAGGGAATTCAGGTCTTCACTTGTGTCTGAAATGCTAAGATGAAGCCAATTTTATTCCTTTCCAGACCTTCACCTGATGTCCTCTCTGATGTCTTGGGAACATGTGTGCTTAGATGAGGCTTTCTTTATTTGATTACAGTTAAGATATGAGAGTGTATTATTAGCACCTTCCTACTGTAAAATTCATCATTTAAAAAAAGGCCTGTAAAAAGCACTTTTCTTGCCACTCTCAGGCCCAACTCTCATTCTTCAGGTCTTCGTAAGGAGCAATAGACCATTGGCTCTGATTGTTGCCTGCCTGCTTCCTAATCATGGCCTTCAGTATGGGACCTCCATCCCAGGCACTTACTACTCACGAGGAAACAAGAGTGCACAGTGGTTAAGGACACAAGCTATCAATTTGGCAAGCTATTTCAAATACTTGCCTTGCAACTGGTAGAATTCTGAGCAGTTACATCATCTCTCAAATCTCATTTTCTCCATATAGATAATGGAGATCATTACTAGTAAACATTTGTGAGAACAGTGCTGTTTAAATGAGCTACATCGGTGGAGATTTCTCTCTGCCTGGCATTTTATAATCCACTAGTGAAAGGTATCTGTCATTGTTTGTAATTATTATCATTAGACCTGGGCTTAGGGATGGTTGATTGTAGCAATAGTTGATTCAGGCTCAGTCCCTAAGTTCCCAATAGAGACTGGTAGCAATAAGGGAGCACTAGAAACCCTGGCCAGGAGTTATCCAGGAGTAAAATCTTGGCAAACTTCCACTGTGTCCATTTTTCTTTGGCTAGTGTCTGGAGGCTCTATGTCTTGAGCTATGCAGAACCTTAGACAGAAGCAAGCGATGTTAGCTCTAGAGAAGAAATAATCCACATTTCATGAATTATTGTAGGCCCAGTTCATAGGACTGGGCATGGCAAACTGTAGATGGTACAGTCTTGCTGAGCAGGAATTTCTAGATTTTTCTTCAACATTCCCAGAAAAATCAACCTTAATGATATGAAGACAAGAAATGAATACTGTCAAGATCTGGCCCAGACAATTCTTGGAGCAAAAAGACTAGAGATTGTAGTGTGGAAGTCAATCTCAGATCATAATCTCAAGATTTCGCTTTTGTAAGCACCAGGCTCCAAAGACATAGCCAAAATTCAAAGAAAGATAAAAATGAAACAAGATTTCTAGATAGAATCCAGAATGGGCTAAAACCAAGACTCTGGCTTTAATCAAATAAGAAATTAGGAGTTTCTGACTTTGTTTGGGGATTGGCAAAACTATGCAGAAACCCAGAGGCAAAAACCAAGACTGTTGGCCTTTGATTTCAGTAGGTATTAGACATGAAGGCAAGGAGGCAGGAGATTACTTCCTGAGCCTATTTTTCAGTTGTTATTTTATGTACACACATATGTAAAGGTGTACATACATACATACAGGCACATTCATGTGTGTGTATGTATGTGTGTGTTTGTGTGTGTGTGTGTGTGTGTGTGTGTATTCCCTGATGAATTAGCATTCAAATATATGAGTCTGTGGGGGCCATTCTTATTCAAACTACCACACAGCACTTTCAGCTTAGACATTGATCTATGGAGGCATCATGGGCATTGTACACACACACACACACACACACACACACACACACACACACACACACTCAACGTGTGTGTGTGCACACATTCAAGGCACATCTGTAGAAGTCAGAGGACAAACTCACAACTTCAGGTGTTTATTCTTACCTTTCAACCTCCTTTGTTTCAGCAGCCAGGGTCTCTTGGCTGTTTTTCTGTTGTATCCATCAGGCTATCTGGCCTGCACCTTTCCAGAGACTCTCCTGTCTCTGACTCCCATCTTGCCATCGAGCCAGTGGCATTACAGATGCTACTCACCCTAATTTTACATGAGTTCTAGGGATCTGAACTCAGATCCTCATCTTTGCATGGTAGGCACTTTTGCCTCCAGAGCCATCTCCCAGACCTTATTAGCATTTTTTCATTTTACATAATGCTAGATTTCATTACGACTTTTTAATATATGTCAGTTTTTTCTTTTTTTGGCTCGTCAGTCTTTCACCAGTTAAGGAACAAAAGAACACCAGTAGCCTGGGAGAAACACCCAAGTTTGAACCTCTTCCATTCTCCCTCTTAACAGATCCCACCTCTGCGCTTACGGAAACTTAGTGTCAGCCCGAGTACTGTCCGATCCCCGAAAGTCTCTAGGGACTTCAGCATAGCCTTTTCTGGTGACAAGACACCCAAGAGCTGCAAAAAGAAGATTTCATCACACCATTCACCACCACCAAGAAAGGTGACTATTAGTTCTACTCTCAGGGACTGGTTCAGGGATGGCTGCCCATCAAAGACATCATTTCTTGTTCTATTTTCTCTTGCCAAGCCCAGCTCCAGGGACAGACCAGAGTGGTACTTTGTTTGGAAAAGAAATTGCCACTCTTGGCTTTTGCATAATGGTCTACTTTTTTCATTTAGTTTTACAAACCAGATAATCACCAGTTTAACTCATAAACAACGAAAGACATGGTTTCTGAAATACACAATAGTTTGTGATACGTTCAGTTATTTTATGAAAACTAAAATAGAGCTTTTTTTAACAAAAGCAAACACTGTACACTTTTATTTTATTAAGAAGTCTTTTATTCATTTTGCATACTAACCACAAAAAAGTCAGAGGTTAGGTAATATAATATTATTTCCCAACTGTCTACTGCAATAAAAGGCAGTCGCCACACGAGTGGGAGTGTGTGTATGTGGTTTGTATGTCTAGATCTGCCAACCAAATAGAATCCATTAACAATTGGCAAATTAGTAGATTGTACTCATATTGACAGCTCCATTCTCAAATTAATTTGTGTTTATCTTAATTGGTGGTTGTGAACTTACATGGATTTAGAATTTGGAGCCATTAGTACTGGGAACTAAAAGTAAACAGAAACACAATTTATACCAAAAATAACTGTTGGAACAAAACTATTTTGTTGTTAAAATTCTGTAAAGGCATCTGGGGTTATAGCCCAGTGACATTGTACTTGGTTAGCATTTGCAAGGCCCCAACTTAAAAAACAGTTTGCATGAAGAAAAGCAGCCTTTGGTTAGAGCAAAGTTAAAGCACAGACTGATAGTAAGGGGATGGGAATCATTCATTTATGGAATTGGGTTATGACTATTTTCTGCAGAGCACCACTAAAGCAGATGGATTGGAATAGGCAGTCTGAGTTGGTGGGAAGATTGAATTAGATACCATTTTTTATTGTGGGAAAATGTGGTTAACATAAAATTAATCATGAAAACTATTTTTAGAGTACAGTTCAGTGGGATTACATATACCCATCATCACTATCTAGGTCCAGAGCTTGTTTGATTCTCCTAAACGGAAACCCAGTACCTGTGAAGCAGTGACTCCTCTTTTCTATCTTCTGTCAACCACTGACAACACTAATTCAGTTTCTCTGTCTATTTTCCTATTTGATATAAATGGAATGAATAATATGAGGACTTTATAGATAGCTTCTTTCATTTAGCATATTGGTTTTGAAGTTCACCCATGTTGCAGCATGTATCAGAGCCTCATTCCTGTTCATAGCTGAGTAACTGTCCTTTGTAGGTATCACACTCTGTTTAGTCATTCATCCTTTGATGGATATTTGTGCCTAAAAAACAGAACAGCCTCTCAGATCGAACTGAGTTGAGTCAGGTTAATATAAGGCAGAAGTTGAGTCTTTGGGATTACAGTGTAATTGCTCATCATCCCCAGACATTAGTGTCTGTGCTCTTTCTGCCATGATTCCAGATTTATTACTTTACTACGGTGAATCCAGGGGGCACTCAGTTGACACACACAGTTCTAAGGAAGCGACTTTTATTGGCATCCCGTAGACAAACTGGCCTGGGTAGATGATTCTTTAAACAGATGGTGGCTCAGTTTACCCATTCTGGCCCCTAACTCTTATCCCCAAATGCTTCCCCACAAACCCAGTTCCCATTGTCTTCTCACCGAACAACAAGAAGGAAACTAAGCAGAGTAGAAAACACCAGATAGGTCAGAGTAAACAATGACTACATCTCTACGTTTTGGGAGCAATTTGCAGGTTTTTTCTTCTCTCAGCTGCTTCCCTCTACTGGCAGAAGGGGGAAATGCATGCCATCAATGACTGCCCTAGGTGCTCAGGCTTGCTTTCTCCGAGTCCCCTGGGTTGGAATTGGGAGGCTTACTTAAGCAGTTGCCACCACAGTCTCTTTCTTCCACAAGTCCTTAGGTGGAGAGTGGGATTCCTGGTATGTTTCAGTTTCAGTCTGAAAAGTACGTGGCTTTCTCCTAGATAACTCTCCCTCCTGCTGATTTAGACCTCTAATCTAGTACAGGGGCTCCACTTCTTTACATTAGGCAAGAAAGGCAGAGAGCATGAGCAGTTATCTCTGCACATCACATATGACATGTGACTCTGTGTCTGATCTCAGTGTTTGTCATGCAGAGGAATCCAAATATCCCCTAGTAGATAGTTGAACTGAGCAGGGTGTAATTCCCCTCATACTTTAACCAGGGGGTCTCCTTGCCTAATGCTTCCCAGCACCCCATCATCCTCATAACTTTGGTCATCTTTAGCCACAAGGCAGTGATGGAACTCTTTTTTCAGTATTGTGTTTAAGAGGAAAAAATAATTGTATGGGAAAGAAGTCACACACACAGGACCAAGTAAATCTTCTCCCTTGTGAACAGGGTGGCCCAGGTTAAAGTCACAGCTGATTAAATACCCCACCTTAGTGGGGTTAGGTTCTTTACAGTTCTTCCATTATGTTGGCTAATGGAGTTCATTTAGGTCGCCGCACAGCTGCTTCTTTCAATGACGATTCTTGTGTTAGTTTTGGTGGCTTTCCTCATAATTAATTCACTCTTCATGTTTATAAGTAAGTCTCTGAAACTCAGAGCATCCTTTGTTAAATTCATGTGATAAATCAGAGGGGAGTGGAATAACACCTTCCAGTTATCATGTGGAAATTGGCGGTGTACAGAGCACTTGGTTTTCTCTCTAAGATTTTAAGATAGAAAAGGAAAGATACTAGCTGTCCATTTTAGGTGAAACAAGTGACTCAGAGAGGTGAAAGAATTTGGACAAGGCCACAGAGCTGATCAGAGATAAAGCTGAAACTTGAACCTGGGATCCCTACCCATGGTCCATAGCACTTTTCACTGAGCTATGTGACTTTTAGCAGCCCTACAAATTCTAACCGTCGATCAATGCGTGACAGTTGCAATGGCATTGTTTATTATTAGCTAATACAACGGGGAAGCTGACACCTACCTCACCACCACCATATTAAATGTGGGCTACCCTATAGGAGGTGTTTCCTGGGGGAAAGGCCTTGTGTTAAACACTTCTCATGTGTCATCTTAGTTGATCTTTGCCAACAGCACAGCAACGTCTCTATTATTGACTGAGACTTAAAGAGGTTAAGAAACTTGAGTCAGGAAATGGTATGGCCAGAACCTCAAATTAAGTGCTATTTAATTTCACACAGGAGGAAACCCAGGGCCTCATGTTCCCGGAGCACATGCTTTACCCTGTGTGCACTCAGCCGCCATGCGGCATGTTCTGATTTTTAAGTGATTAAATGAAAAAGAAATTGAAGTGATTGTGCTAGGCTACATCTGCACTTCCACCTCCTAGAATGTTGAAGTTGGAAAGGGCTGGCCTCAGCACTTTTTATGTACCAAGGATTTGAGCGAATCGGTAGCTGAGTGGGCACTATCAGGAATGGGGACATAGACTTCTTTAGCACATCCAGGGAAGACACAGCAACAACAAAAACCTACCGGTAATAAGAACTCTTACAACCTGTGCCAGCATCTCTTAGCACAAACACCTTTTACTGGGAACAGTTTTTCCACCAAGATCTGTGATTCCTCTGGAGACATTACTAAGGCAGTGTACTTTACAGCCTCGGCTCACACAGACCCAGGCTCCACAGCATCTCAGTGTCAGACCCTCCTGGACAGCTACAGAATATATTTGCCAACCTTCCCCAAAATATTTGATGAAACCTGGACCTAATAGTCCCTAGGTTTCCGATTTTTAAAGGTTGGCTCTCACCATATAGCTAGCCTAGGCTGGCCATGCACTCCAAAACCTGCTGCAGCCTCTCAATTGCTGGGCTTCCAGACTGTGCCAAAGCACATGACTACTATTCTTACTTAACACAAGAGAAGACTTTTCTCTGTCCTGATAAGCCAACCCATACTGTTCTCTATCTGTTAATCCCAAAGATGGAAGAGAAAGACCATCGACTCCAATCACCATGGCCAAATTAGTTAAAGCAAGTTTTTGTATTCATGTACATGGTCTGCTTTCCCATAAGGCAAGGTGCAAGAGGTCAGCATTGGATGTGAGGAAGACAAGGCTTTTTTTTTTTATAGCTGAGGGGTAGGGGTTACAGGAGTAGAATATAAGCATAACAAGTTAGTCCTAACAACCACCTGAAACAAAGACATGATTGCAAGATGGTATAACAAGGTAGTCATAACAACAGGTGATCATATGACCTTTGGAAACAAAGGCAGGTTGCAAGATGTTTTTGAAACAAAGACATGATTGCCATTCCTGGAACAGACAGTACAGAACCATTTGTAGTTAAGGTTACAGGTGGGGCATAATCCAACCCTTGAGAAACCGAGGTTTAATTATAAACAGGAATGAACCCAGTGTGTCTTTACTGTAAAATGGCGTTTTTTTAAAAAATTTTATTTTACAATACCATTCAGTTCTACATATCAGCCACAGGTTCCCCTATTCTCCCCCCTCCCACCCCTTCCCCTTACCCACAGCCTACCCCCCATTCCCACCTCCTCCAGGGCAAATCCTCCCCCGAGGACTGCGATCAACCTGGTAGACTCAGTCCAGGCAGGTCCAGTCCCTTCCTCCCAGATTGAGCCAAGTGTCCCTGCATAAGCTCCAGGTTTCAAACAGCCAATTCATGCAATGAGCACAGGACTTGGTTCCACTGCCTGGATGTCTCCCAAACAGATCAAGCCAATCAACTGTCTCACCTATTCAGAGGGCCTGAACCAGCTGGGAGCCCCTCAGCCTTTGGTTCATAGTTCATGTGTTTCCATTCATTTGGCTATTTTTTTTCCAATAATCGAGTAAAGCCAAAATTTATTATAAGCCACAGTCGTCCTAGGGACCTCCATGCTATATATATATA